AATTCTTGGGATGGGTTGAAGCCAGGTCACGTACCGACCACTAGCAGAAATGTGGGGAACATAAGCCCGGGGGCGGGGTGGGGGGTGGGGGGGGTTGGGCCCCTCCACCGAGAGCAGGAAATGCCGGTGGGGAAAGCCGACTGGAGGGTGGGTGGCTACCCAATGCCCTCTCGGGACAGGACTGCAGGCCCGAGGGGGTGGAGTGGAGGGCGGGTGTCAGCTGGGGATGTAGCTTTGAAAGCAGAGAAGAGGGCAATTCCAGGCAGAGGATGAGAGCAAAGGCAGGGACGGGAAGTCAGTGGGCTGCAGGCCCAGCCACCAGACCAATGCAGGTGAGTGGAGGGAGGGCTTGCACAGGAGTAAGATTGGAAAGCGAGGCCTGCAGGGAGCATGGGAACACCCAGGCCTCCGAAGGGGGTGAAGGACAGGAAAGGACAGTGTGCAGAGACGGCAGCGCTGTCGGCGGCGTGCGGGGAAGGCAGGGCTGGGGGCCAGCTCGGGCTGCAGAAGCAGCTGTAAGATACACACCGGACACGGAAGATGGAGAATATTCCTTTATATCACACGTCTATGGTTACAAACAACTGCTGTTCACATGATCTCATTACATCCCCGGACCAATCTGTAAAGCTGAACACTTGTCACATTTCGAGAGGAACTGCTGCTCAGAGTCAATGCTCTCACCTCTGGCCACGATTCCTTGGTTGGTTTTTGGGGAGACTACCTTCCTTACCCCCTCTCCCCCCATTCCTTCTCAGGAAAGGCCTTTTCTCCTATTTCCCCTTCAATACAGATGCTCGGGGCCCCTCCTCTTCCCCTGCTCTACCCTCGTTGGATCAGCGGTCGCCAACGGGTGGTCCGCGTACCACGGGTGGTCCGTGATGTCCGAAAGGTTGGCGACCGCTGCGCTAGGTGACCTCATCCTCTCAGGGTTCTGGCCCCCACATGGAGACTGACAGCTGCCAGTTCTACTTTGCAGCCCCAATCTTCTCCTTGAGACCTGACCCGTATACACTCCTGCTTGTCCCGCACGGGAGCACTCCCAGCAGCCCAGGCCTGGAGAGAGCGCCGGGGGCGGGGGCTGCTGGGGGAGGAGGCCGGGGTACGGAGCACAGGGAGAGCCACTGGAGTGCAGAGGGATGTGCATCCTCCACAGTCAGCACTATTTTTCAATATTTTGATTCCTATTTTAAACCTTTTTATACATGATCCTAATTTCAAGTTGCTTCAAATTTTTATTTGAAAGCAAGATGTTTACAATAAAAGTCTGAATGATGCTCCCAAGATCCCACGTGGCAGACAAGCCTGATTTTACAATCCACTCACTCGCTGGTCTGTTCAGCGACGGAGCACGCTTATGTCAGGCATCGTGCAAGGCTCTGGGCGTAGCACTAATTAAGACAGAGTCCCTCCAGGAGCTCACAGTCTCATGGTAACTCGAGTGAGCTGAGGCACAGGGTGGTACGTGATTTACCAGTGAGGTAGACATAGCTAGGTACTTGGAAAAGGGGCTGGATGGAGCGGGAGAGAGGGCAGGGGACAACTAATGCCTAAATGCACCCCTCGGAGCGAGGAGCAAGGCTGCACACAGAAACATCACAAACCTGCTGGCAAAAAGCTTAGAACAGCTTCCAGCTGTCACCGTCACCGAATTCCCGTCTCACACTCTTTAAGCCACTACCTGATGGTACCTCCACACTTGTCCCTGAAGGTGTGAGGCATGCCACCTGTCTGCTCAGACAGTAGCTGTAGGTCACCTGGACCCCACTCCACCACTGGGAGTCATACTGAAAGTCTTTAATTAAACCCATGATCTTTAAGTTCAGAAGATGCTAATAAGTTACAGATACCACAGAGTTAGAGGATCTGTTAATTTCCATATATACATTATTCTGGCTATACAATGGCGAAGAGACTCACTAAGACACACATACGATCTAAGCACTATACAGATATATACAGACATCACACTTAGACGGCGTGTGCACGCCCACCCACTGCGCAGCAGCTAATGCAGACGTGAACTCGCGTAAGGCAACTGCTTTTGTGATGACGACACATGATCCTTGAAGGGAGGGCAGAGTCCACGCAGGACTGACCCTTTCGGGTTAGTGATACTCTTTGCGGAAGGTAGTAGGCAGGATATCTAGTTCACTGACAAAAAGCAGTGAGTTATAACATCCCGGAATCTAAGTAGCACTCAAAGACACGACTGGCCTTGTGCTGCCCCTGACGGAGGGGGGACTTCACAGTGACTGATCGCTGAGGATCAAACTCGATGCGTCATCATCCAGCGACGCTCCAAAGCCACTCAACACACGGGGCTCAAATCCCGTCAGTCACTCACTTCACTTTGCTGTGGAGGATTTTCTTCTGAAAAATAACAAACACAAGAAATTCTTCTAACGAGGGTTTCAAAAGCAACCAGGTAACAGCACACAATTCAACTGCAGAACAAAGACGAAGAACCCTGGTCAGGCGCCACGTGAATGGCATGAGGCTGCCGTTCGGTCACAAGAACACACTGGAGGGCGAACATGTACCCGAGCCCCTGCCGCGACTGTGGACGGCCTCCTCCAGCCACAGACCCCCCAGCTGGTCCTCACGGGGACGCCGCGATCTCAAGGTCTTACTCTCATCAAACCCACATGGAAGTTAACTGTCCCGTTCGAATACGTTCTCCCAGGCAGGGGGTTGCTCTCATTTTGCTGATGGTTTCCTTTGCTGTGCAAAACTTGTCCTATTTGTTTATTTCTTTTGTTTCCCTCCCCCAAGAAGACAGATCAGAAAAAATACTGCAATGTGAAATGTCTGAGATTTTACTGCCTATGTTTTCTTGTAGGATTTTTGTGGGTGAGTCTAACATTCTCCCAACACCTTTTATTGAACAGACTATCTTTACCCCATTGTGTGTTCTTGTCCCCTTGCACATTTTTTTAAAGAATATATATTTTTATTGATTTCAGAAAGGAAGGGAGACAGATAGAAACATCAATGATGAGAATCATTGATTGGCTGCCTCCTGCACGCCCCCTACTGGGGATCAAGCCCACAACCAAGGTACATGCTCTTGACAGGGATTGAACCCGGGACCCTTCAGTCCGCAGGCCGATGCTCTATCCCAGTGGTTCCCAAACTTATTTGGCCTACCGCCCCCTTTCCAGAAAAAATATTACTCAGCCCCTGGAAATTAATTTTTTTAAAATTTTAATAGCAGTTACTCATCGCCCCCAAATGCACCTGTGGCCATCACCGCCCCCCTGGATCGCTGCAACGCCCACCGGGGGGTGGTAGCGCCCACTTTGGGAATCACTGCTCTATCCACTGAGCCAAACTGGCTAGGGCTCCCTTGTCAAATGTTAATTGACCATGAAGGTGTGACTTTACTTCTGGACCCTCTATCCTGTTCCGCTGACCTATGTGTTTTTCTGCCAGTCCCAGGCTGTTTTGATTACTGTGGCCTTGATATCATACCACCTGATACCAAGTAGTGCGATTCCTCCAACTTTGTTCTTTCTCAAGATTGCTGTACCTTTTCAGGGTCTTTGCAGTTCCATGTAACTTTCTGGATTATTTGTTCTAGTTCTGAGAAATGCATCATTGGTGTTTTGATAGGAATTGCGTTGAATCTATAGACTGCTTTGGGTAGTATTGGCATTGTAATGATGTTAATTCTTCTTACCCATGAACACAGTATATGCTTCCACTTATTTGTATGCTCAATTTTTTCTCCAGAAACCTACATAATTTTATTAAGCGACGTCACCCAGTACATTTTAAAAAAGTATTATACAATTTAAAACCATGAGGGCCTGACATTTCCCGAGACCAGAAAAGCGGGTTTACCTTTGTCAGGTGTTTCTGAGTGTTTGCTTTTCTTAGACGCCGAGGGCCCTGCCCCTTCAGAGCCCTTCCTGCCGGAGCGCCCCTGCTCCACTTCACACAGGTAGACGTCGATGGGCCCCTTGGTGCTCCGTATGTGCACCGTGATGGAGTCCTGGAAACAACACGCAAGCGTCAGCAGCAACCAGGGGTTCCGAACTGTGTCTGTCACTCACTGGACAGAACTGTGGGTCCCAAGGGACGTTTCTAAACATGTAAATCCAGAGAATTTCCTTTCCATGTTTGAGAAGACCATGTACTAAGCTTTTGTGACATTAAAAACAGCTCCTTGACCACAGAATGATGGTTCCAGAGCCATCGCGTACTGATGGGACGCCTCAGTCCTCAAGAGCCCACTTTCCTCCCCTCGGGGTTGACTGACCCCTTCAAGGAATCTGTACGTGAGCCAAAACCCAGTGTCCTGATGACAAACAAACAGAGACTCCCCTGTGGTCTCAGGTGACCAGGGTGTGTTCGATTTCCAGACCACTGAAGAGCTAACTGCAAGACCATTCTTTTGTCCACATGAAAAAGCAGCTGAGACCAAGACAAAATATACCTCCTGTAATTTAGCCACTGGAACCCATGAGCATCAGGAAGTTGGGAGCTTCTACAGAGAATTATGCTATGTTCTTAAGGAACAGCTCCAGTTAGAAACGGGTCCTTAGCTCTGACTGGGAGTGGGTTCGACCGTCAGTCTTTCTCCTCCCGTCCGCGCGGTGGGCCTGGGCTGGGTGCCACGGCAGCACTGCCCCTGCTGCACAGCCCAGTGAGAGGCCTCAGGACCCCGTGCCGCCCTTCCTACAGCCTCCTGGGACCACAGGTAGCTGGAGAGCGTCTGCACCCCCTTGGACAGTGCCTGCTGGGGACAAGGAAGGTGGGTGTCCAGTCCTCCTCCCTACAGGGAGGTAAATCCCTACAGCATCACTGAGTACCCCTGGGTTGACCAGCCTGTCAGAGTCGACCGTCTGTCCCAGGAACGGCCACACTCCTTGGTTCTGACTCCATCCTTATCAAGCAACTTCTGATGACAATTACCTTTCAATACTAACGTCCCTGCAAGGGGAAGAGTATGCTGAGCACTGACAGCTTGATAAGAGTAATATTTTCACAGGGCAACTTCACTTTTCATTTTTACTATATGACGTAATATTCTAGTTTCCTCACCAGTCTTTTCTGAGCTGGGTTAGTGAATTAATCCCCTAGAGCAGTGGTCGGCAAACTCATTAGTCAACAGAGCCAAATATCAACAGTATGACGATTGAAATTTCTTTTGAGAGCCAAATTTTTTAAATTTAAACTATATAGGTAGGTACATTGTTATTAACTTAATTAGGGTACTCCTAAGGCTTAGGAAGAGCCACACTCAAGGGGCCAAAGAGCCGCATGTGGCTCGCGAGCCGCAGTTTGCCGACCATGGCCCTAGAGCCTTGTCTGACACCAGATTTCCTTCTGGAACTTCAAGACTTTAGCCAATTCCTGGTGATTCCTCCAAGGGGCTGATAGCCCAACAGTTAAGAAGACAAACCCTCGGGGCTGAAGTCTGGTTCTGTTTCTCACTCTGTGACCGAGAGCAAGTTCACTCATCTTCTATGTTAGGTTCCTCGTGTTGAGCTTGTTGTGTGATTTAAGTGAAAATGTGCACAGGGCCTTGAGCAGGACCAGTGTGCATGCGAGGGTCACACAGTTAGTGAGGCGGCCAAGCAGCAGAGCCTCGGCAGCTGCCCCCCGCCCCCCCCCAAGGCTCCCTACAAATGCAGGTCACCTACCTCTCTGGGGGCTGGGACGTCCAGTCTGGTCTCTGCCGGAGCTCTCACCGCGATGACAATCTGCTCGTGGAAGGCTCGGATGCTGTGGATGTCTTGGTACGTCACGTACGCGAGCGTAAGCCAGTCAAGGATCTGCAGAGGTCTGCTCTGTGGGGAGGTTACTCAGCTCTTGTAATACAGGAATGCGAGTGGAATGTCAGAATATTACCAAGGATTAAGGGGGGCAGTTGGTAAAAATATTTCCATACATAATTCGTATTTCATGACTTAGTGTTTTACATTTATAACTCAATTTAAGAGTTCCTTTAAACTGTACTATTGTGATTATGATGACAATTTCTGGAGAAAAATGCTAATAAAGTCTGAATTCCCAAGACAAACACAACTGATAAAGGTATCAAGTCCGCCCACCCAGCTCCATTCCCTCCTCACTGCCAGCACTCACGCCAAGAACCTCTTCGGGGAAATGTTCAGAGTTTAAGGGATAAGAACCCTTAAAATTGAGGTGAAAAAATCTCTAAAAAGTAGAAACATCCCAGCCGGCGTGGCTCAGCTTTTGTCAACCTATGAACCAGGAGGTCACAGTTCAATTCAGGTCAGGGCACAGGCCCGGATGCATGCAGGAGGCAGCCGATCAAGGATTCTCTCTCATCACTGACACTTCTCTTTCTCTCCCTGTCCCTTCCTCTCTGAAATCAATAAAAAAATATATATTTAAAAAAAAGTAGAATCAACTTAGAGAATTGTTTTTCAGGATTATCACCTAAATGGGATTTCTCGTCCAACCACCTGAATTTTTGTACTTGGTTGCTGTGCTGAGTAAAATTATAACAACTGCGCGTTTTATTGGGTTGCCAGCATTCTTTTTTACTCCACAGACCTCCTGACTGAGTGTAGTAATGTTACAATGGCTTTCCTTTTAACAGCGACTGGAGCAGCCTAGACTGCTGTCGAGTTTACATAAATTGGAAGCACAGAAAGCTCGGAGTCAGTAACACCTCCCCGAGGTGCCACCAGGGGAGCCCAGCAGCCAACAGCTCAGGAGCCCCAAAGATCAGCTGCAGAGACGAGTCTCCCCTCTGATCCAGACACTGAGCTGAAGACAATGCTGACGCCACGACCTTGTGGCCTGGAGGCGCGGTCTAGGCGCCATTTCAATGCCATTCGTTCCATTTCAGAAGTAAACGTGATGGAGAAATGAGGGGAAATAGGCTGTCACAACAGCCAACAAGCCTTCTGCCTATATTACAGCAGCCAGGCCCCGGAGGAACGAGAATGCCCGCGAGTTTAACTGTAAATGAACGTCAACCTTGGCATCTTCCTGCTCGGCTCAGGCCAGGACGAGCACCGAGCGGAACCACCGCACCAAGCAGCTCCGGGCCAGGACGTGTTACTCGGCTACAGACTAAACCTTTACGCCCTTTAACATCTAAAAATCCGATTCTGCCTCATCTATACAGACTAACCCCCCAGGCTGGCTACTCTTGAAGGCAGCTGCTCTGGAAGGAGACCGCTTTAGAGAGGCACGGAGCTAAAGGATATCTTTCATTGTCTTTGTCATCCGTCAACTCGAACAGCTGCTGAGCACAATCCTTAATCAACTCGTCCAGAGCCTCTTCCATGGCCGACAGGTCGGACAGCTCCTCCCGCAGCTTCTTCTGTTGAGGCACTGCTCCGAAATTGTTGAGATCGGATCCTCTTGGAAAGCAGGGGACAGGACCACCGTCAGCCGTGCGCAGGAGGTGGTGGAAGGACGCAGACTGGTTAGTGCCCTTCCCCCAGGTTCCATCAGCTGTTCCCACGGACAGACACGTCGACTCCACCCCTGCCCTCCCCTTATTCCACATTACCATGATTCTCCAGACACTTCGACCCCATCCCTGCCCTCCCCTTATTCTACGTTACCATGATTCTCCCTCCGCATAGCCTGGGCTTGCCCCCACTTCTAGTCCCTCTCACAGGGACTGAACCAAACACAGCATAACCCCACGGGAAGCTTCATGAAGAGGCAGGGAAAGCTAAGAGTCGACAGTGCCCAGTGTAAGCCCAGCTCTACTGCACGCAGCCCGACTTCTGCCAAGTTATGATCTTCCAGGGCCTCAATGTCTCCATATGAAAAGCAAGTACTGGCTAAATGACAGTTCCTCTGCTAAATTTTTCAGTCTGTATTCTTCCCTATTGTGCATATTATATCTAGTTCTATTTGAATATAATGATTATATTCATTGTTCTTAAAAAATTTATTTTCTTTATTATTGTCTAACCCAATACATGACCTGAGTAACAACTGCTCTTTTTTTCTTCAAGCTTAATGAAAATAAAGACAGAAAAGACTGCTACTGCTATCTTTTCCTTGCTCATTTTCAACCTGATTCCCATTAGTGATACAGAATACAAACGATATTAACCACACCCCCCCCCCACCGTGCTGTTTAATGTTATTTAGTAAACACATTCCAATTAGACTTCAATCTGCATTTCTGTACTATTGGAAAAACACACCTCCTTTATAAACCCCTTTCCTCTCATAACCTTTAATTACTTAGAGTCATTCTGTGATCTTTGTTGGAGCTTCGTTTGCCTGCAAGGTCTCTCTGTACTGACAGCTGGGACTGTTTCTTACTGGATGCTTGGAACTATTCCCCAGGCCACTTGCCGATTGTAAGCGTAACAGCTTTCTTCTTATGGCATGTGCAGCCTCCCCCCCCCCCCCATATACCCAAATCTACCGACATCTATACGGTAAGGTCCTCCGTCATGTGACCCTTCCTAATCACATGTTGTCTTTAGCAATTGCCCTTTCGACAGTAAGTGTACCCGTTTCCATTACGGGCCATGAGTTTGTAAGTGTGATCCATCGCCTACCCGCATCATCATCACGGGTGTGTGTGTGTGTGCGTGTGACACTCTCCTCCAGAACAGCGATCACAGCCCTGGGCTCTAAGTGTCTATTACACTATATGCAAGAACCGCTGTGTTACAACCTCACCTGATTTGAACTGAAGAAATACTTTGAAAAGTGAGTATCTTAAAACCAATCATATTCCATTTAACTTATCCATAATATCCTACTGTCTATGACTCTTAAGTAGGAAAAAATAGCTATATATTCTGTGGGACAACGTGAAAAGATTTTATAGAACGCCTTTTCTAACAGAAGTCAAGTTTTCTTTTGTGAAACACTGCTCATACCCAGTTTGTGTGAAGCATGGCATTGTCACCTAACGAGAAGGAAAAAAGCCATGGAAAGTTTGAAGCCAACTCACATCCATCGAATGTGGTTCTTCGATTTTTTTTCAACCAGGTCGATCCCATCTAAGACATTGGTGATGTCATAGACTCTTCGTTTCCGGACTCCCAGTTTTGTTGCAACCTTGTTTAAGTCAAGAATCCCCCCAGGAGCATTTCTGACAAGATCCATGAATTTCCGAGTTAAATACACCAGTGATACATCAAACCGAGGTGTCTTCACTTTTAGAGTTTCTGGGAAACAAAACAAACCCATTTTTAAAATTTTAAATATCATTTCTTTCTAAATTCATTTAAAATAATGTATTTCCTCTTGATTAGTAAGCACAGACACCTACAGAAATTCTATACACTGATCAAATCACAGCTAATTTTTATGAAAGATTCAGGAAATAATTTTATGAAATAGTTTCTCAAACTGGATAAAAATTAGGCTATCCCAGGTAACGAAAGGCTTTAGACCAAGCATGTCAAACTCACGGCCCACAACGAATATTTTTGCGGCCCAGCCAATATAAGGGTATGTAAGAAACGTTTTAATAAAAATTTTGTAACTTAGTTTTTACAATATCCTGTTACACATAATTATTAATAACGAACTACAATGTTTGCTAATGACTGATGACTATAATCGTGTTGCATTCATTTCCCTTACACGCAGGCGCACCATATCTCTCCACGAATACTAGCAGCGAATATTTTAGCAGCCGATTGCCGTGTCATTAGCCTTGGGCTGACTGGAGGCAGTGTCTGAGGACTTGCCAGAACTGAATGCTACAATTCTCTTCATCTTTCCCAATTTCATACTGAAAAAGAGTCCTTATGGTTTGGTGTGCAGAGGAAATAAATTCACAAATCACGCAGCTGTTCTAGTGTGGGGTATATGAATTTTCTTTTTCTCTACTTCCACAGCATACCAGTCAGGGTGCCTCAAAAGAAATAATCACACCCCCTCCATCAGCAGTGCCCCGTCCAGAACCTCTGCGACGGCACACGCAGCTTCAAGACCATGAGGTTACTCCAAGAAAAGCACCTATTTTATAACATAAATGTCTCCTTTGTGCAGGCCATTCCTACACTTGAGATTAAACGGGCTTAAAAAAAATTAAAAAAAAAATTTTTAAGTGTAACTAGAAGAAAGTCACAATTCTACAACAAACCTTGGAAGATTACAAATTAGAAATTCTAACTTTAAGAAGCATACAGCTAGCCCTGGCCGGTTATGGGTATAATCACTGAAAGGTTGTGGGTTCGATCCTCAGGGTGCGTACAAGAGGCAACTGATCAATATTTCTCTCTCACATTGATGTTTCTCTATCTCAGTGGTTCTCAACCTTCCTAACGCCGCGACCCTTTAATACAGTTCCTCATGTTGTGGTGACCCCCAATTTCATTGTTACAAATGGGACATAATTAAAGCATAGTGATTAATCACAAAAACAATATGTAATTATATATGTGTTTTCCGATGGTCTTAGGCGACCCCTGTGAAAGGGTCATTCGACCCCCAAAGGGGTCGCGACCCACAGGTTGAGAACCGCTGCTCTATCTCCTCCTCTCCCTTCCTCTTTCTCTAAAATCAATAAAAAATAAACTAAAAGAAATAAAATAAAAACCATGCATTTAATTAAACTAGATTACTAGCAAGACCTAGTATAAGCTCAGGACAAGTTTCCTATCATGTTAGTCCTTTTATAAAGAACAGACATTAGTTAAACACCTATAACTTGAAAGTGGCTGTAGGGAGATAATGATTAAAAAGATCTCCACACTAAAAGCTTTCCCGAGTCTAGCAAAGGACTCGACCACAACACCGTGAGGGAAGTGCTAGCGAGGCATTCAGTTACTTGAGATGAAATGAAGCCGTAACTGGAGAGGGAGCTGGGATGCCTCCGAGCAGGGAGATGCTGGGAACAGAGAATAGAGACGAGGAAGGGGTCCTCCACTCTGACGGGGACACACGTCAAAGGACAGGGCAGCGTTTGAGGCCACGGCGCCTGGGGCGTCCGCAGGCAGTGGCTGTGGCAATGGGCGAGCAGCGAGTGCTGGCGCGGGGACGCGAGGTGGCCTTCCAGGGCCTTGCCGCTCCCTGTCCATTCCCTCCTGCCCGCTCCTTCTAGGGGTATGAGGCGGCCTATACACTTAACACAAATAAGTAAAGCCAAGTCAATGGGGAGCCAGGGCCTTCTCTGGAGGTAACAGAGCACCACTGAGGAGTCAGGTGGAGTGACACCGCAGTCCCATTTCTGTCCGGGAAAAAGCACACGGCAGCGGAGGGCTGGGCCTGGGAGCAGGTGGCCTACGCAGGAGGCGGTGCCCACCTCAGGCTGGGAGCATCTGAACTGCACGCGGCAGTGCAGCACAGTGGTTAGACTGTGGGCTCCAGCCAGAGAGGCCCGCGTGGGGCTGAGCCCTGACTGAGCAAGTCACTTACCCTCTCTGGGCCTCAGTTTACTCGTCTAGACAATACGAGTAACAACCCACATCCACATGGTGGAGGGTTGCTGTGACCGTCCATGCAAAGAGCTCACACGGGCCCGGTCTGGTGAGAGCTCAATAATGCCAGACAGTTCACGAAGCCGGTGGCACGGGGCAGAGGGAGGGGCACCTCCAGGGTAAAACCGGAAGACCGACTACAGTGAGATGATGGCTGAGGGAGAAGTGGGGGCTGACGTTAAGGTTCTACATGGGCATCATGTACGCACTGTGGTCCAGTGAGAGCAGGACCCCATGAGGGGGCAGCGAGGAGGGGGCGCTCTCATAACCGTTTCCAGGACAGGGAGCGGGGCAACCGCAGTCCCGCCCCTTTCACTGACCGACTCTGCCCAGGGCAGGAGTCAAAGGAAGAGACGGGAAATCCCAGGAGCCAGGAGGGAAGGGCCGGCTCCTGCTTCCTGTCCATCGCTGGTTCTGCTGACGGCAGCCTTCGGGGAAACGCAGCAGAGCGTACACGCGCCATGCACAGCACTCAGCCCACATCCTCAGGTAATGCCAAGGGGCACACTTCAGCGCACAAATAACACATCTTATTTAAGTTTCTCATCAACTCATGTCCATTTAAAAGTAATCACTGAAATCATAGTTCAAACTTCAAAACCTAAAACCCATTCAAGAATCAACTTACTTCTCATGGACACATACTGTACATTATCTTCTAAATTAATCATTATTTTTGATGGCTGGAAAAAAGAAACAAAGAGAAATTTAACTCAGTAACTTAAAAACAACAATGCACATGAACCGCTTTTACTGGGTAATATATAGATTTTCTTTTTCGCCCTGGGGTAATAATTTGGGTGTGAGAGAACCAGTTCTTCTTCCAAATTATATCTAGTCTAGCTGTAATCACACCTGACAGTGTCATAGATTCAAATCTCTAAAGCAGTTCAAGAGAGAAAGGGAGGAGATACGAGGAGGGAGAGAGAAACACGGACAGGAGAACATGCATCAGACACGGAGGAAGAAAGAAACACCGAAATGATCAGGACGCTCCCTGACGCTGGAAGGCTCCGTCGGGGTTCAGCGATGTCTAAGCCAGTAAGTGCTCCGTGCGAGTGGCTCCCACAGACGTGCCCGAGCTCTCCCAGCAGCCGCGCGTTCCCATCACAGTCAACGCACACGGAGCAGCCCTTCTCCGCCGGGCAGTCCCGCGCTGCACAGCTAGCAGCTCTGGCATTCAGACGAACAAAGGCTCCTGTGAATTCCTCAACAATCAGGAAGTGGTGGGTCCACACCAGCGTGTCGCCGTTTTATCAGCTATTTAGAGACGGTGAGAGTTTACAGAAACCTTTCGACGCCGCTGCGGACACAGGAACCCCCGTAAGCCGCCTGCTTAGAGCGAAGTACAATGAGGTGGCTCCAGACGGGCTGTGGCCAATCAGGGTTAGCGCTTGTCCAAGTGGAAAACCTGGCCTCCAACAGGCACAGCGAAGCGGAGGTGCAGTGAGTTCTACGAGGTGCTCCCGAGAAGGGGCAACAGGCTACCGTGGATGCACCCCGAGGGACTCAGGGTTCGCAGGGAAGGGCACGCCAGCACCAGGCTCAACATGGAAGACCATGAAAGCACACTAAGGAGGTTAGACTTTCTGTTATAACCCGTGGAGACTCACCACAGATTTCTGAACAATAATATGGCATATGCAAGCTCATAGTTTGGGAACGTAAGTCTGGGAGAAAAAGCAAAAAGACTGGGGCCTGGGGAAGCCTGAGGGGGAGCAGCTACAAAGCTCTTCATTGATGAGTTACAAATTCTGGGCACCAGGGCTTCCATATTGTCTATGACATGATGACCGCCCCTATTAACAGGTTAACTTGATATGGAGCAATTCCCCGGAAAGAGAATTATGCTGTAAAATTAACTGCGTGTTAGGATTTAAAGAAAAATGTAGTCCTGCTGGGGTGTGCGGAATCCATCCTCATCCCGTCACTTAGCCCCAGATCACCGCATGCACCTCACCCCTGGAGAGACCGGTGGCTCTACACCCTGAAAGGCCCTTGTAAGGCGTCACCCGAGAAAATGGTGACAAGGTGGAGTGGAGAGGGGCTGCCACTTGAGCTGAGGATAACAGAGGCCCCTCAGGGTCACCCATTTCCTTTTTATTCTGAAACAATCTCAGCCTCAGGAAGGTGCAGCAACAGTGCGAAGAACTGCCACCTCCCGCCTCGGCCGGTGTCACTCAGGGGCAGAGCATCAGCCCAACCCTGAATGGTCGAGGGCTCAATTCCCAGTCAAGGGCACGTACTTGGGTTGCAGGTTCGATCCCTGGCTCCAGTCCAGGTCTCTCTCTCTCTCCCCCCCTAAAAATCAATGGAAAAAGTATCCTCAGGTGAGGACTGACCCAAAAAAAGAAGAAAAAAAAAAGCCACATCCCTTTCACCCAAATATTCATTTTTTTACATGACTTTATCATGTTTTGTCCCATACACACACATGCTTTTTTCTCTGAATTGAGGGTAAACTGCAGATGCCTAAAGAATTCCGTGTGTAGCTCGGGGCATTCCCGTACACAACCACAGTATAATTACCGACAAGCCTGTTCAAGACTAAGCAGTCTTGGAAAAGAGCCAGTGGAACCTGGACTCTGAGGGCACTGGCTGCACAGCGGGAGGAGCGCGCTGCGGGCAGCTGGAGCGGGCACCCTGGCTGTGCTGAGAGCCTCAGCACCCCGTCACTGCAGCGGTGTGGACAGCAGACGGTCACGGTCATCTAACTAGGAGGCTGCCGTGCACAGGGTGGACGGTGGCACCTGGCTGTCCCTTGCAGTTCATAGTCAAATGTATTGAGGAAAGACCTGGTAAACAAACAGGTATTGGCTTTAACCATTTTGAGCGTCTCCAGAAGCTAAAAATTCATGACTTTCGAGAAAGACCGAATCTAAGGCGCTGCCAGGAGAACAGCCTAAAGAGGGAGGCGCAGGCACGCCCGCACGCTTCGGGGTAACGCCCCAGCGCACCTGCCACCCTCAGGTCCTGGAGAGAGTGCCAGGGGAGCCGCACAGACCCCCCCCCCACCCCAAGGTAGAGGGTTTGTCTCGAAGAAATCTGTGGGCGGGCGCTGGTCTACTGCGTAAACCACAAGTTTCAGTTTCTGACAGAACTGTATCAGCCACAACACGGCCAGCGTGGACTAAAAAGGTCACCAGATTCTGACGGGAGGAGGCTGAAAGCCACTCAGCTGCAGGGAGACTCAGCGGCACCGAGAGCCCAGAGGTGGAGCAGGGAGAATTACTCCCAGGCCCTGAGACCTGATCAAGAAATCGCCCACATTGACCAGGCTGGGATCAGGAATTGCTCGGGCCAGTTCCCGCCCTGTGACTCCCACCTTCTGCCTCATGAACAGAACGTCTAGAGCAGCTGTCCTGTCTGGTGTGCGGGTCAGATGCCTCGTGACTTGCATCCCACAGGCCGAAGGATCTGGAGGAACCACACCTGAGAGCGTGATTCTTACTGTACTCCTGTGAGTATGGAACCTGTTACTTTTTACCTGTCCAGTGTCTTCAGAAGGCAGTCCTCGGAGGAATGCTCCCTCAAATCTCTACGGAACCTGCCCAGGTGCCACCATACACGCTGCTTCTTCTAGTCCTGGCAACCCACCGCTGTGGGGGCAGCACCCAGGTTCCTACTCTTTTAAGCAAGTCCCACTGGGAGGGGACTCCCAGGTAACGCCCCGAGGGGATGCCAAGGGAGAGCCAGGAGCAGTCACACCTCATGACTGGACTACCTAAGACACTGTCCCTCCCACCCCTCCAGCCCCTCTCACCTGTTCGGGGCTATTACCTACCCTGTGAGATCCTAGGTGGGAAATGACCGCAGGAGGCAGAGGCCTCCAATCGGAAAATCACTAAGGATGACCGTGCACACAGCTCTCCGGGAACCGCCCCTCCTGGTGGGCAAGCCTGCCCATCCCACGCTGTTTTACTGCGGCCCAAGCCCCACGTCTGAAGACCTACACTTCTAAATCTGAGATCTCAAAGAAGAAAAAAATAAATAAAAGGTGAGTTTTAAGGGCTAAAATCTTAGGCACTGCCTCTAAATTGGTTAAAAATTTCTTTATATTGCCGAAACCGGTTTGGCTCAGTGGATAGAGCGTCGGCCTGAGGACTGAAGGGTCCCGGGTTCGATTCCGGTCAAGGGCATGTATCTCGGTTGCGGGCACATCCCCGGAGGGAGATGTGCAGGAGGCAGCTGATCGATGTTTCTCTCTCATCGATGTTTCTAACTCTCTATCTCTCTCCCTTCCTCTCTGTAAAAAAAAAAAAAAAAATCAATAAAATATATATATAAAAAAATTTCTTTATACAGATTTTTCTTTGTACCGATGGCCTGTTTGGGGAATAACATCCCTTTAAGAGCCTCTGAAAATAAACCGTTCTCCAAGGCAACTGTATTCTCTTCCCTCATTTAAATTTTCCTTATTTTTCAACGTGTGGACTAAGCCCCACCTCCAACAACACTATTCTCCCTTCTCAAAATGCCAGTGTTCCGGCCACTTACCCGGAGCACATCAAACACTCAGCCAGATCCATCACTAACCTTAGCACAGCAATACGCTTCTGTGTGTTTAATCATTAAATACTTCCGGTCATCAGCCAGCTGAAAAGCACTGAGATGGGTGTGTGAATCAGCATCTTACAGGCAGGAAAATAAACACTCACACATCAAATATTTGCCATTTACAGAGTACCTGCTGCATTCACTCAATGGCTATTTACCAAGCCTTCTTGTGAGAGGCACCCATGTGCTGGACATGTAACAACGAAATGGGCAGTCACCACACCCAGGGCCCTGAGAGCCACACATTGCAAAGGGGGCGAGTGAGCCCCGGTGCGTGGGAGCACCCAGGAGCGTGGGAGCACCCGGGAGCGTGGGGGCACCCCGGGAGCGTGGGGGCACCAGGGAGCGTGGGAGCACCCGGGTGCGTGGGAGCACCCAGGAGCGTGGGAGCACCCAGGAGCGGCGCTAACCCAGGGCTGAGCCGTCAGGGGAGCCTTCAGACAAGTGACCTGTAAGTCTAGACCTGAAGAACCGTGGGACATAACAAGAAAAAGTGTGCTAGGAAGAAAAAACGGCTTTTTTGGAAGGGGGATTGTGGCTCTGTAAGGGTCCAAAAGAATAAGGAGACGCATAGAAAAAGGGGGGCAACACAAGCAGGAAAGCTGGTTAGGAAGGCGTTGCAACGACCTGAAAAATAGATGAAAGTGGCAAGTATTGGTGATTCCTTCTCATTAGACCGGAAGGTGGAGGGACGCAGTTTGGAAAAGGCAAGGACGCTGCTCAGGTTAGGAGCGTGGGCAAACGGTGAGCGTATTACCTTTTACTTATTAGATAGGACATAGCCAACTTGCTGCTTGCTTAGCAAGAAGATAATGAGTTAAATTCCAGATAGAGGAGTTTCCAATCTAAGTGGAGATCTCTAGGAGACAGCTGAAAAGCTGTGAGCTGGGTTTGTAGACCTGGGGGTTACTACGACGTGGAAACTGAAATGAACAGCGGGTGAGAACATCTCAGACTGCGAGGTGTGCGCACCTTCTGATATTAAATGCAAAATCAAGTGGTTTTCCCACAGCGAGAGCGCAGAGCTTTTATCATCGGCTCAAAGACGAAGACCACCAGCAGAGGGTAACAGACGTGCTGAGCTGGTGGCGAACGACTTCCAGCGTGAAGAGTGGTAGGGAGGGTGGAAGGCAGCCCTGAGTGACCCCCACACGGAAGGGAGGGGACAGGGAGTCTGCAGGAGCACAGGCGAGGCCAGTGGAGTGGACGGGCACCAGCGATGCAGTGGTAGAGAAGCCATTCAACAGCGAGAGTCTCCAACAGAAACAAGCGGTCAGTCCTATCAGAACCGCAGACAAGGGGCGCAGCGTCCCCCTGGAACTAACAATGCTGTTCGCAGCCTGGGTGAGAACAGCCTGAGCGCTGGGCGGAGGGCGGAGGTCCCCGGCAGCGGGTGAGGGTGGTAAGGAGAGATGAGCGAGTGGGCACGGTGAATGCAAACGATTCTTTTCCAGAAAGTGTGGCTATGAAGGGGAAGCGATGCAGACGGTGGGAGGGTATGTCGAAGTGTGGGAAGGATCTCTAAAGACGCAGCCAAGAGTTTACCGTCTGGAATCAGACACAGCGAGGCCCAACCCAGGCTTCCTCCCTACTGCCTTCCCCGGGCAGCCAGCCACCTCCAGGTCTATTCTGGCAGCTGCAAGACAAGAGTAACCACCTCTTAGGGCCGCTGTGAGAAGATAAGATCGTGTCATTCCACTGCTTTCGTGCACGGAGTCCCCCTGGGGACTGGGCACAGCGGCCAGTTATGGGAGGAAACCAGCAGAGAAATAGAAAACACGGGAGAAATGGGAAATGCAGGGTTCGTCCCCACCCTGAGGACCAAGGAGGAGGAGACACATCGCATCAAGTCTAGCGCAAGAATAAAGGGAATCAGCCTTTTGCAGGAAAGGAGCCCATTTTTCTCGGCCTGAGGGGACAGGAGAGACTCTGCTGGAAGAGGGGGGGGGGACGCGAGGTGTGGACAAGCTGTGACATGGTCGCAGGGGAGAGGAGGAGGGGAGAGGAGGCGGGAGAGACGCATGGAGCTCGCAGAGACACGGAGGGTGGGTTACAAGCAGGAAACAAGGTTTCCTACCAAAGTTGAGCAACCGTCTCCGCCCCCTGCCCTGCAGCCCCGCAGTGAATGCCAAGAGGGCCGCCGACACTTGCGAGAGAGTCTGTGCTCCAGGGAGGCAAGGGGGTTTGGCGAGGGACCGGTTGGTGTGCAGTCTGTCGCAGGCGGGGAGCTGAGGGGCCGGGGTGCAGAGGGGCCGGGGTGCAGAGGGGGCCGGGGTGCAGAGGGGACCGGGGAG